GAATCAAGTTTCTATCTGGTTGAGGGAAAAATGACTGGATGGGTATTCACTAAATTTGCAGGACACCATTGGCATATTTCTGCCTTAAGAAATATCTATGTTGTTATACACAACGTTCATGTGCAGGGCACCTAAAAAGGTAGAGAGTAACTTTCCAGAGTAGCTAAAACTAAAGAGTACAACAGGAAGTCCAAGAGGTCTTAGAGGGCTGGTAATAGTGAAGGATAAATTTTGTAAAATGATGCTACGGATGAGCAGACAAGAAATGGTGTTTTCAAATCTGAATTCCAAGTTATTCAACTCAAGGGCAATCAATCCAAATTCCATGCATTGATTTGCAATAACATTTGATTCTCATACACACAATAGAATATGGTGTGTTCTAGAATAAGTAGTAATAGGGATTTATTTATTTGATAATGGTTAATGATTCTCCCAAGCTATGCAGTGGAGGCTAACTACTATATAATAGAGGTTATGAATTGAAAGGAAGGAAAAAACCCTTGTCTTAGTTAAGGTTTGCCCATAAGAAAATCTTGAGACAAGGATTCACATGCAATTGGTTATCTAGGAGAAAACAAAGGCAGGGGAGGAGGAAATGAGCCAGGAAGGGAAGGCAGGCAATAGAAGGTTAATTATTAATCAAATGTCCCAGTAGATAAAAAGAAGCTACTCCCACTAGGGAAATATGGCAGCCAATCTAGAAGAGTGTACCAGTGTAGTGAAAGGGTGAGAAAGGCTTAGGTATTTATATACCAATTCATGCCAGTCATTAGCTGCTCCCAGGAATATTAATTGTCTGACACTGCTGGTCTGCTGAGCAGGAGAGCAAAGGGGATCTGGTGACAAGAAAAAGGCCTCGGACAAAGAAATACAGTTGCTAGCAATTGGAAGAAGGGCCAGAATACACTGAAGTGGCAAGAACAATGGGATACTAGTGGTAAACTGATAATCATATGGACAGGAGTGATCTATAAGACCCAGTAGAAGAGGGACATGAGCTGGGCCTTGAGAGATGGGTAGTATTTGGTTAAGGGAAGGCATTTAAGTTAGGAAAAGTGCCATGAGCGTAAGTATTGAGGTAGGAAAGCATAAAAGATATCCTAGGTCAGTTATAAGCCAGTTTGGCTAGATCAGAGACACAGTTTATATAAGATATTCTTGGGAAACTATAGCTAAAAATATATGTTGGGTCTATATTAAGGAAGGTATCTAATACTAGGCTAAAGAGTTTTAACTTTTTCTTGTAGGATTGAGGAATCTTTAAGTTTCTAAATGGAAAAATAATAAAATGAAAACATTATGGTATTAATATCTATGTTGGCACCATTATTGTCCTTGGAATGTAATCTCCTATTGAATAGTCTCTGTACCTGTTCAATTTTCCTAGGAGAGGATTACATGCAGAGAAATACTCAGTAACCCATTAGCAATGAGCACCCTGAGTACAAAGACTATGGTATCTAAATACCACTTCTTACTAAAAGGAACCAAGGCTCCTTGGTGAAAAGGCTGATTCCAGTTCTGTGCAGAATATTTACAAGATTTGTCTAAAATATTTTCTCATGCCATAAAGGAAGTAAACTATTAAACACTACAGTAGCTTGGTCAAAAGAACTCAGGAGCCCACTTGAGGGGGTTCCCACTGGCCAAAGAAGAAATAATTTAAGCAGCAAAATAAATATTATAAATATTATAAATATTTATAAAATATTTATAAATATTATAAATATTTATAAAATATTTATAAATATTATAAATATATAAATATATAAATTATAAAAATAAATATTATAAAAATATTTTTTAAATAATATCTTCAATGACATGAAATATATTAAAAATGTTAACATCCATGAACTCACAAATATACTTTAATCTTGAAGGCTATCAGAGAACTAACTCATTATTCTAAAAACTAGGAAATAAAAGAGAAAAATCTGAAGCCGGCCCAGTGGCATAATGGTTAAGTTCACACTCTCCACTTCGGAAGCCGGGGGTTCACTGGTTTGGATCCTGGGTGCAGGCCTACACACCACTCATCAAGCCATGCTGTAGCAGCATCCCACATAGAGGAACTAGAAGGACTTGCAACTGTGATATACAACTATGTACTGGGGCTTCGGGGAGGAAGAAAAAAAGAGAGGAAGATTGGCAACAGATGTTATCTCAGGGCCAATCTTGCTCACCAAAAAAAAGTACACCTTAATTTAAAAAGAAAAACTGCACATTTATCCTACTCTTCATGTATAAACTGTACAGATAATTCTTTATTATAAAAGAATTTCTGTTAGTAAATGTAGAATGAATGATCAAATTAGAATATCACCATTTTGCAACTCTAAATGAAACAACAGACACAGACAATAATCATTAGTGGCTGCTAAAACTATTAGGTGAAAAGTTGATGGGAAAATTTATGATGTTTATCACAAACTTTACCAGGTTGACATTATCCGAACCCGATAACCAATTATTATATGACAAGAAGAGAGACAATCAGACAGTGTATACCTCAATGTAATACAATAGGTAATAAATAATAACACACATGAAGTCTTTTTGCCAAAAGATAAAAAAAAACAATTTGAATAATCCTGTAGATTTAACTACCAGTTTACAAGAAATACAGGGAAAAGACACCATAGGAATACAATTCCTATGCAAAATTCAGAATGTGGAAAATTCTACAGTGCAAATGATCATTGTTTTTTAACAAATAAATGGCAAGAAAAATCAGAAAAGAACCTATAGAGTAAAAAACAAGAAATGTAATGCCGAGACTTTGTTTAGGTCCCAATCTGAGCAAATCAACTGTAAAACATAAAATAAAATTTACGAGACAATTAAATCTGATATTGAATGTCTCTTTTATGATATAACAGAATTATTGTTAAAATTTTAGTGGTATTAATGATACTGTAGTTGCATTCTTTTTAAAAGAAGTTTTATATTATATTATATTGACATTTATATATTTTATAATATATTATATATATTATAAAACTTTTATATTACAGATGGGGCCGGCCCGGTAGCTCAGCGGTCAAGTTCGCACGTTCCACTTTTCAGCAGCCCAGGGTTCGCTGCTTCGGATCCCGGGTGCGGATGTGGCACTGCTTGACAAAAGCCATGCTGTGGTAGGCATCCCACATATAGAGTAGAGGAAGATGGGCACGGATGTTAGCTTAGCTCAGGGCCAGTCTTCCTCAGCAAAAAAAGGAGGATTGGCAGTAGTTAGCTGAGGGCTAATCTTCCTCAAAAAAATAAAATAAAATAAACTTAAAACTTATATATTACAGATATATATTCATAATTCCTAAAAGCTTATTCTTAAATATTTATCAATAAAATAATATGGTGTCTGGAATTTACTTAAAAAAATCCAAAGGGCTGGGAGGAAGACTATATATTAATAATTGTTTATGCTAGATGATTAATATAGGAGTGTTCATTATACTAATCTATTTACTTTATGTTTGAATACACAGATTGGGTATTCCAAGTGAGTTAACTAAAATTTAGTATTTCTTACCTCCTGATCACTGAAATCATTAAAGACTGAAGGCAACTACTCACAGAAGGAAGCATGAGACAAAGCTAGAAAAAGCAGTTTTGAAAGTACAATGTCGAAGGGTATACACAACTTCACTGTGAGAAGCAGCAGCTTTCAACGCCTAAAATCTGGGCAGGAAGCAACGGTCAACCTGAATAAACTCCTTAATTGTCGCTGATTGCCCAAGAGGCAGTTTAGTAAAAAAAAAAAAAATCTGGACATTAGAAGACTGACAACACCTTGCTTTGAAATCTCAGGCTCACATAACTTCTGCAGGTTTTGGAGCACGAGAGTGCAGGAAATGAAATAAAAAGACAACAGCCACAACACATGTGGGTACTAGCCTAGACTGCGCACTGTCCTGAGAGCTCTGCATGAATCATCCCCTTGAAACCTCACAACAATCCAGGGAGGTGGGGTGGGCTTGGTACATAGTTCCCCCTTATCTGCAGGGATACGTTCCAGATCCCCAGCGGATGCCTTAAATCTAGGATAGCACTGAACCCTATACATAAAATGTTTTTTCCTATACATACATACCTATGACAAAGTTTAATTTATAAATGAGGCACAGTAAGAGATTAATGACTACTAATAATAAAATAAAAGAATTACAACAGTATACTGTAATAAAAGTTACCACAGATGGTAGCAACCTCAGCATAAGATTTTTTTTCATTCCTTATTAAGTCCAGAACTTTAACCTCCAGGTGAGGTAAAGCTGAAAGTACTTTACAGCTTTTCTTTGGCATATCTGAAATGCCAGCATCACTACTCTTGCACTTTGGGGCTATTATTAAATGAAATAAGGGTTATTTGAAGACAAGTACTGTGATACCTGGAAGTCGATCCGATGCCTGGAATAACCCACATGGCTACTAAGTAACTAACTAGGCAGGTAGTGTATGCAGCATGGAAATGCTGGATAAAAGGGATGATCCACATTCCCGGCCAGAAGGACAGCGTGAGACTTCATCACGGGCTGCCCAAAAGCCTGCAATTTTAAACTTATGAATTGTTTATTTCTGGAATTTTCTATTTAATATTTTTGGACTATGGACGACCACAGGTAACTGAAACCGTGGAAAGGAAACTGCAGATAAGGAAGACTACTTTACAAACTTTTGAAAGGACTACTGAATGAGGTAGGCATCAATACATGGTACCATTTTTCACACTAGAGATTGAGGTTCAGAAGCCAAAAACTTGTTTAAGATCACATACTGGAATGACTTGGTCCAGCCAACATTCCAGGTTTATTCAACATGAAAGAATGCTTAGAACACTCCATTGTATCGGACTTGACCTGAGAGAAAGTTGGGGGGCTGGGTGTGAAAAACTAGAAAACTTAAAACTGTTTCCAAAGACCTACAGTTTTCCATCTTCAGCACCACACTCTACACATCTCCATCTCACCCAGAAGGAAAACTAGCCCTCCACTCACCGCCAGCAAGCCGGTCCTTCGTAGCAGGGACCTCCTGCCCGGGCTCCGAAGGTCTTCAACCCCAAGCCCCACCCCTTCTCCGGTCGCGCGCGCCCTGTGACCTTCAAACTACATCTCCCATAAAACCCTGCGAGGACACCAGCCCTCTGCCGGAAGTCAGGAAGGCTTCATCCGGCGCCGGGAAGAGTGAGTGTGGGGTTTTCACAGTGCTTCGACTGCTTCGTGGTTTCCTCTGCTCGGGTCACTTTTGGGTTAGTAGCAGCAGCAGCGACTTGGTCGGCCTCAGGTGCCTGTCTGGGGCCGGTGACCAGTTGTCAGTGCTCTTTTGTCCCCGCGCTGTCCGGCCCTGCTGGGTGGTGTGGCGCAACCTCGCGCTCGGTGCAGGTGCAGGCGCGGGAGCGGTGGCCGAGGGGCCGAACTCCCGGGAGGGGTGGAGGGAGCAGCAGATCGTGCTGCTGGTGGCGTTTCCAGCCCTTTCTTTGAGATGAAGGAAAGGAAGTGCTACTTTGGTGTGGTCACCTTAAAAGGAGGACTCCTGTGCGGCCAGCCCGGTGGCTTAGCTAAGTTCGCGCGCTCGGCTTGCGTGGCCGTGGTTCAAGAGTTCGCATCCCGTGGGTGGCCGTGACACCGCTCGTCAAGCCACGCTGTGGCGTCCCACATAGAAGATAGAGGAGGATTGGCACAGATGTTAGGTCAGGGACAATCTTCCTGGAGCAAAAAGAGGAAGATTGGCAACGGATGTTAGCTCAGGGCCAATCCTCCTTACCAGAAAAAATAAAAAAGGACTACCACAATAGTGGCAAGAAAACAAACTATCTCAAGGCACTTGAGCATTTCGAGGGACCGTGCATGGATGACGCTGATTGGTTAAATGGCCATCTTGTGCCAAGGAAGTGGATTCATTAAATAATAGTCCGTGACCTCAGTGACAGAGCCATTTGTGAGGTCTGCCCTGTCCCTCTTGAGCCACGGACAAGTCACGTGCCCCAGGTTACACATTGGTAAAAGTGGATACTGATTTGGTTAAAATCTAGTACCCTTTAAACCTAAGATTCTAAGGTCATTTAGACGTCTCGGAATAGTCCATACTCTTATTGGAAAGCAAGGGCAGCATTTAGCTAACTGAATCACCCCATCCCGCCTTCAAATCCTCACCTACGTGAGGACCTGTCAGTGAGAAATGAAAAAGTACATCAAGCAGTAGAGCTAGATTTAAGACTGCATATGCTTCTCTGGAATGAGTAATGATCTGTTTCTACATGGCTTTTCTGCTGAGAAAGCTAAGGGGAGAAGTGTAGGTCTTCCGCTTCCTTTCTCCTGAGAACACTGTATGCATAAGCATTGCACGGGGGCTACTGAATGGGACTGTATTTTTGGAGGACAGTTTTGCAGTCACCTGGAGTGGCCTTCCCCACTGGAGGGTGAGGAAGTGACCATGACTTCAGAACATGAGACAGTGAAATATTGCTTAAAGTAAGCCTAGCTGAAGACCCTGTATGATAAGATTTTGTGGAAAATAAATTTAAGGGAAAGGCCACTGGAAAGGGAGACCGTACATGAGTCAGTATACAGCAGTGCTACAAAAGTCCTGAAAAGTTGTAGCTTTTGTTCGTTATAATGTTTTTAAAGCCTTTAGAAATCTGAAGAGAGTAGTGAAGGTATGAAGAGAGGGCTGAGGTAAATTCTAGAATAAATCAAAAGAAATTAAAAAGTGTTTTCTAATATAGAAGTCACTCTTAACTAATTTAAGTTGTAAACCAATTTTCAGTATTAGATTTTATCCAAGTATTTCCTTTCCCGTGGGTGGTTTTCACCTATTTACAAGTAGCAGAAAGATACAAACAGGGAAAGTGAATAGATACAAATAAGAAAGTTAATCTCTTTCACCCACTTTTTCCCTAAATTTTGTTCATACTACTCCTGCTATAAAATTGATGAGCCAAATTGCAGTGTCAGAACCCTAGAGATAACAGCTGTCAAATATTATGGATTATAACCTTTCTTTCATTTTAGCCTAAATAGCTTATTACTTACAATGGTAAAAACCTTTAGAATTCCAAATCTTTTCTTAATAGCATTTCTTAGAAAAAAATTCATACCTTCAAAAAAGTACTTTGAGAAGTTCATAGACAACTGAAACATGAACCATTTCCACGAAAGAACAGCTCAGTTTGTGCCCTACCGCATTCAGTTCATGATTAGGCAACATTTATTAAGAGATATGGGACAATTATTTTCTGTATTTTTTTTCTTACTAAAACAACAGAGTGGCAACGCAGACAAAGAAAGTTAAGGGTTTAAAAACCTGTGATTCAAGAATAGATGAAGAGACCAGTAGAGCATTGTCCAATAATAGATCCAAAATATATAGTCATCTGATTTATGACAAGAATAATACCGCAGTGCAATGGGACACAAACTAATTTCAAGAATGGTACGAAATCATATGGATTGTCCAATGGGATAAAGATGTGTCTTGACCCCTGCTTCACATTGTGAACAAAAGTCAATCCCAGATAGATTGCAGAATTAGTTGTACAAGGTAAAGCAATCTATTGTTTTTATGTGAAACTTAGTTTTTGAATAATTAGCTATAAGATCATAATTTGCCTGAGGGCAGGGACCTGTTTCTGGTACCACAGGATCTAAGAGAATACTGCTTGTCATCTGCTAAAAACTTTTGCCTTCACTTCTTTGTGCCTTAACCCCTCTCATGTCTCTGGTCCATATGGAAGTCCTTCTGGTCTACCTCAAATACCCCTTCTTTGTAATGCCTTTTACCTAACTCCCTCTCCCAGGGATCCAGCCCTCCATCTGTATTACCAAAACTCTTTATACATTATTTTGTACATCCCCCATGTTGAATTATGTTTAAAATTCTCAACTGATAACAATTTTGAAATGTATGCTCTTATTACAATTGACTACTAATTGCCTTTCGAAGAGTATATTGCTTGAGAAACCATAACTGTTACTCTAATTATATCAGCACTCAGGTAATGTTCAGTCATTGATACAAAAAACAACCACAGTTGAGTTTTTTTGTATTTTCCTTTTTTAAGGAAGAATGTCTTCTATTAAAGGAAGTCCAAAGCAAGAAATAATTTCCCAATTTCACTGTTCAGCTGCAGAAGGAGATATTGCCAGGTTAACAGGAATACTAAGTCTTTCTCCATCTCTTCTCAATGAAACTTCTGAAAATGGCTGGACGGCTTTAATGTATGCTGCAAGGAATGGGCACCCACATGTTGTCCAATTTCTACTTGAGAAAGGGTAAATATTTTAGGCTGTACCACCTGAAGGGTTGTGTGGTTTAATTTCTGAATTACATATGTCCGTTTAAATTTTTCTTGTAGCTGTATTTATATCATTGGAGTTATAAATAACTCATTGATCAGTTTGTTATATAAAAATGTAGGATAATTTCTAACTAAAAACTTTGAGTTATTTTTATTGAGGAATTAATCCTTCATACTCAATAGCAAAGCAAGTTTATGAGTTAGTCTAATATTTTTCTTCCAAATAGAAAATGTAAATCTATGCACTCTACCTACCAAGAATCTCCTGTAAGATTTTAATATCTTATAGAACATAAAACTTACTGGTTTTTTATTTTATAATTCTCCAGGAATTTTAAATATCCACTATCTCTAACTTTTCATCATTTGTGATTATTTTTTTAACCTACTCATTAGTAAATTATGTACTAAAAGAAAATAAATCGGGGCTGGCCCTGTGGCCGAGTGCTTAAGTTCCCGAGCTCTGCTTTAGCCTTTTGAATCCTGGGCGCCGACCTGGCACAGCTCATCAGGTCATGCTGAGGTGGTGTCCCACATAGCACAACCAGAGGCACTCACAACTAGAATACACAACTATGTACTGGGGGCTTTGGGGAGAAGAAGAAGAAAAAAAAACAGATTGACAACAGTTTTTAGCTCAGGTGCCAATCTTTAAAGAAAATAAAAAAAGAAAAAATAAATCTATGTAATCATTAAATAGAGGGGCTATAATGTGCATCTGGAAGTATTTTCTTATAATAAATACTGAAGAAAACGTTTTGTTTCCTATTTTATTTTTCCTTCCAACTGTAGGTGCGACAGATCCATTGTCAATAAATCAAGGCAGACTGCACTGGATATTGCTAAATTTTGGGGTTATAAGCATATAGCTAACTTACTAGCTAATGCTAAAGGTGGGAAGAGGCCTTGGTTCCTAACCAATGACGTGGAAGAATGTGAGAATTATTTTAGCAGGACGCTACTGGACCGCAAAAGTGAAAAAAGAAATAATTCTGACTGGCTACTAGCTAAAGAAAGCCATCCAGCCACAGTTTATATCCTTTTCTCGGATTTAAATCCCTTGGTCACTTTAGGTGGCAATAAAGAAAGTTCCCAGCAGCCGGAAGTCAGGCTTTGTCAGCTGAACTACACAGATATAAAGGATTATTTGGCTCAACCCGAGAACATCACCTTGATTTTCCTTGGAGTAGAACTTGAAATGAAGAAAGAGTTACTTAATTATGTTGGGGAAGTCCCAGGAGGAGAAGATGGGTTGGTTGCCTGGTTTGCTCTAGCTATAGATCCTGTTGCTGCCGAAGAATTTAAGCAAAGAAATGAAAATTGCTATTTTCTTCATCCTCCAATGCCAGCTCTTCTGCAATTGAAAGAAAAAGAAGCTGGTAAGAAGTGAACACTGTTTACTTGTATTGATGATAATCTGGTTTTTGAAACTTGGTTGGAGTTAATATGTATCTGCAGTTTCTAGGAAGCACGCTTTTTCCAGTAAGCCATGAAATTAGGCTATCTTCATTAGAAACTTCCTTAAGTTCTCACCCTAGAAAACTAGTCTCCTGGGCAGTTACAGCAGTTTTAATCAGCCAAGATTAGTTTCCCCAGAATTAACCCTTATGCATGCTGATTTCATTTGATTCTTCGGTGAATAATCATTGAGTACCTGCTGTGTGCTGAGCTTGATGGCAAAGACCTTGACTGTTTTGTTTTCTGTTGCTGGTTAGTCATTTCATCTGGGGCCTTAAATGCCATGGTAAGAAATCAGGGGTTTTCTTCTAAATTCCATTTAAAT